CCAGCAGCGCCAGCGGCGCCAGTGGCCGGGGCCGGGCCGGGAGCGACATGGGCGTCGGTGCGGGGAAGGCCGGCGTCTGAGGGTGTCAGCACGTCCCGCAGCCCGGCCGACCCCGGCCGGTCGCCGCCATGGCAGCGGCCAAACACGGCGCTGCAGCTCCCGGCTCCCGAAGGCGGACGCCGCGCTGCGTGGTCGACGGGGCAGGACGATGGCGCTTCGGCTTGTTATATACCAGAGATTGTGCACAGATGGTCGTGGTGAATGACCGTAAGCCTACACGGTCAACTTGCAAAAATAGAGAAAAAGCCACTTCTTTAACATGGCAAAGGCTTCCAGATCTCAACACATTCGGCGGCATACTCAAAAGTCGCAAGAAAGGACAAACGAGACAAATCAACGAGGTTCATATTTACGGACTACACTTTTATATTATATGCACTTGTATACATACACTTATATATTCATTATAAACACTTACGTATTTACGGACTTTTACAACATCGCAAAGTGGCGTTGGAATCTGATAGTCGACTAGAGAAGCAGAGGCAGACTATCTATTTTCGCGTTGCTGTAACTGTTATTCTGCCCAGAAGGAATCACAAAAGAAATATCCCCAATCTAATCTTTGAAAGGTGCGACTTGAATTTGAGAGATACTCAGAAGCATGACGTCACGACGGTCGTTCTCGCGCGCCCGACGCCCGGCGTCCGGTGATATTTGCAGCGACTAACGCCGTTCGGCTTTACGAAAACTGCCATCCCGGCCATCGTTGTCCTTGCTCCCGAGATTGAGCGCCAGCAATCCTTTTGATGTTATTTGTTTCACGAGCCCATTTTGCAAAGGAAAACATGCTTTAATGGCAAACGTGAGATGACCTTGCTCATTTTTAAACTAATTTCGACCCATCCTTTTTAACATGGCCCCTTACCTTTCCGGGCAAGCGGCCATCTTGAGTAGAACATTAGGGGCACATTATCGCTCCTGGTCAGGGGCTGAAGGGTTATTTTGTCTCACCACAGGGTGTTTTCCAAACGCCATTCTGGCGACACGGATAATCCCCCAGTCAATTCGGAGGTCCTTAGAGGGACACAGCATATACATTGGTCTCCTCCCCGATGCGAAAGGCCTTCTGACCCGTGCAGCTGACCCCGGATCGACACGGGAGTCCGTATTGAGGCAACAAGATCCCTGATTGCTTCAGGTGGTCCAATAATTGGCACATTTTTGCTCAGTCGACTCCAATTCGGCTTAACGGGCCCGTGCTGGCACTGGGTTTGAGGACCCATCGTTCGGCTCTGGGGACTCCGACTGACACAAGACCCTTTCACTGTCTCAGTGTGAACGCTCATCATAAGTTCGCATGCTTCTTTACTTTGTCGGGGGGCCCCGGCCAGTGCGAGGGGCCCGCTGGCATTCGGGGTCCCGTCCTCGTCCCTGCTCAGAAAGTGCTTCCCTGACAGAATCGAGGCCTCTTGTTGACACGGGACCCTCTGTTAGGCAATGTGGATCCCTAACTGATACAGGAGCTCAAAATTGTTGCAGGTGTCCCACCAATATTAATCGCGGGTCCGACCTTGTTCCTGCCTGGTAAATGGGGCCCGAGAGCTCAGACCGGTACGGAGCCAACTGTTAAGTGTTGTTGATCTCTAGCCGAAGGAGAGGAACGCACTGCTTCGGGGGAGCCCAATCGGTGCAAGGGGCCCTCTGACTGACATTTGAGGTCAGGGGCGGGGGTCCTTAGTGTGACCTATGCACGGCCAGCACTTCCGGCACTTCGGCTTTCCAGTCTGACCCATGGTCTTTGGTCTCGAGAGACTATTCTTCCAGTACTCTTCAGGCTGTCTCAAACACGGCTCCTGGCTGACTCGGGGCCACTTGCCGACATGGAACCCTGTTAGGCACTGTGGCCGCTGACCGACACAGGAGCCCCTCTGCGTAGTGTCAGGGATCCCGAATGTTGCAAAGTTGTAACGTTGCAACGTTGTAAAGCGCGGACCCGGCCTCATTCCTGCTTAGCAAATGGGTCCTAAGGGCTGAGACGGAGACGGAGCGACTGTTTGGTTCCGTGTCGAGGTCCTATATAATGGAGACAGAAAACCCGAATAAGGGGCCTTAATAGAAACGCTCTGACTGACATTTCAAGTCACGGCACTACGGGTGGGGGGGGGGGGGGGAGGGGGGCATGCCCGAATCCAATCGGATCTTTGTCCAGCCCCTGATACCTTGGTCCCCAGGGGCCTAACATGAACCCTTCTTAGGAGCCCTGACCGACACACCCATGGCTTCAGTGACGCCGGTTTACGCAAAGATTGGGTTCGGCCTTGCGCGACGAGCATGCTTGGGAAATGAACCCCTGGGGCTCAGACCGACACTTAGGCGACTGTTGGGTATTGGTGCTCTTTAGCTGAAATAAAAGCCCCACTGTCCCAAAAACCACAGTCGATGCAAGATGCCCTCCGCCTGACTGTTCAGGTCCACGCCTTACGGCGTTGAGGAGGGGGGGGGGGGGGGCTCAATGTGGAGCCTGCCAGCCAGTCCCTTCGGGCCGTTCGACGGGACGTACGCCTCCAAATCGCCTGACAATCCGCCCTGACTGTTCAGGCCACGCCTTACGTGCGTTGAGGAGGGGGGGGGGGGGGGGCAATGTGAACCTGTCAGCCAGCCCTCGGGCCGTTACGGCCTCCAATCGAGCGCCTTGATCGTCGGCTTCCGGTGGGCCGCCTTGGCCCCTCCTCGGGCTCTCATTTAACAATGCCCTCGGTAGCCCGGGGTGGCCTTGTAAACGCAGGACCCTCCTATTAGGCCACTGTTGGCCCCTGGTAGATAACAGGAAACCCGACCAGTGTAAACTCGATGGTCCTGGCTTTGTAACTGCTGAGGAAGTGGATCCTCAGTCTTCATTCCGGCCACGGGGCCGGCTGTGCGTTATTGTGATGTCTGAACCCAAGATTTTGGCCCTCATCGGCACAGGGGTTGCCTATCGGTATAAAGGACTCTGACTGTCATTGAGGGGCTTGTCCCCGTAGGAAGAACCCCCTGCATAAATCTTCGACCAGCCCCTCTTGCCCCTAAGTCCTCCAAACGGATCCTTGTAGGTCCTCCAGGCTCTTCGGGCCTCCTCAGACAATGCCTCTGCCCAACTCGGGATCCCTTGCCAACACATGGCCCCCTGTCAGGCGCTGTGGGGCCCTAACAGACGCTGGCGCCCCGACCAATGCAAACTGCTGGCTCCGGCTTTGTCTCGGCTCGGGAAATGGGCCCTCAGGCCCATGCCGACACAGTCGACAACGCGTAACTGGTGTTGTCTGACCGACATTTAGGCCCTTGTCAACTCAGGGGTCCCTAATCAGCGCGCAGGGCCCTCTGACTGGCAATGAAGTGTCCGGCTTTGCGGGCCGGTCCCCTGAATACGACCTCCGGCCAGCCTTTCAGGCCTCTTGGGCCCTCAAATCGGGCTCTTAGTCGTAGGTTTCCCTGCGCCCCTTGCCTGCGCCACTGGGTGACCCTGAAGTTTGAACATACGTTCCAAGCGCAAGAAGAACCGCAACGCCCTAACCAATACAAAGATGCCTCAAACCCTGGGGGTGGGGTGTACGAATATTCAATGTCCGCCTCTAACGTCCAAAACACGTCCGAGCACCAGAACTAAACCCTTTAAAAACGAAATACTCCGACCTTTGACGGGACGTGCCTGAGCACTAGAATGGGGTGCTTTGGGCTGAAAATACGTTATGAAGTCAAGACGAGCGCCCCTCGGGACTCAAAGAATTTCTCAGGCTCTGAGATGTTTCGAGGGCCGTGGTAACGTAGAGTTTGGGTGCCCAAAGCGCGGCGGGACTGCCTCAAAGACCCGCAGAGCATCCATGACATCTGCACACGTGCTTTCAGAATAAAAAGTGTACTTACATAACTGACTTAATACAGACCCATAATTTAGGTCACCAGAGAATGCACCCATTTACACCATTTTTAACATGATAAAAATAATGTCATGTTGCAAGGAATTCACGGGATTGTGATATGGTAGCTTCGACAGTTGAGAAGCAGGCAAGACGAGAACTTGCGCTCCAATGCAAACAACACAAACCATTTTGGCTGCGTCCAGAGAAGTGGGTGTCTGGTCTTCACCCGGGATAACCGTGTGGGATATATCTCTGGTGGCATTTTGATTCTGCAGCTCTTGGAAAACTGGTAAGTGGTCTTATTTTCATCGTTTCATAGGCCATCATTGAAATTCAAATTTCGAAACGAGAGTGACCAAAAAGCCTTGTAGCTCTTTACATTTTGGAACTGCGTGTTGGTTGGTAGCTGTCCACATTGACTTTTAGAAAAGATGGGGTTCTGATTTGCGTCTGGGCTGAAATAAAAAAGGCTGGTATGAACTGCAAGTCAATTCAAGAGTATATCTTCTGATGTCATTTTTGTGACACAACACTAGTTTGTGTTATTGACATGTAGGGTATAATTACCCATTTGATTTGGTTATGATATTTGTACATGACAATTATCACAAAGGTGCTGAGGTGAGCATACACTATTTTCCCCCAGGTCTTGTTTGCCCTGCCCCTCTGAAGTTATGTAATTTTATATTGTCTCTGGCATCAGGCTTTGTAATATAGTGGTTTTATGATGCATCTCCCCCTGAAGCAGCTGTATTGACGGTCTGTCATGCCTTCAGCATTTATCAGATTGTATACATGCAATATCATACTCTAGAATGTATGAATGTGGTGTCACACTTCATACAACAGTAAGGCGGGTGTGGCATGATGGTGATATAACAACAATGTTTGTATGCAGGGCACTAGGCATGCTGCTGCGCACAAACAAGCATGCCTGTACCAAGCCTCTGTGCTGAAAGTATCTCAGAATGGGGATTTCTGCATCACATGTATGCACTGAAAAGGGTTTTAGTAGGAAAACAGATTAACCTTTACAAGTGACAATAGAAATAGCAACAACTATGTTGATGCGGGCAGGTGCACAACTCTGTATGCATG